TGGAAGCAGTTGAGTCAGAGATAGATGCTTCGTTTACAAACAACACAACCGTTTATTAAACACGAAAGAAGCTTACAAGATTACTGCGATCTTGGAAGTTCTACGTCGGCTGCGGTCGCTGGGTCTTCCTCTCCTGTGGTTCCACGATAGTCCCATTTTGAAGGAGTGTCCCTTGTTCGAGAATGAACAATTCCATCACGTCTCGATGACTCCGGGACGATGCGGTCGACTTCCGTTGATGGAACGATGTCGATCCGAGGTCGGGAGATGGAGACGAAGATGGGTGCGAGACACACACACAACAACAGATCCGTCACTTGGAACTTTCGGGAGAAGAAGCCGTCGCGTCCTCGAATTTCCGGGGTTTTATCTGTTTTCTCTCAGATTCCCCTTTCCGATTGGTCTCCCGTCGTCACCTGATGACAATTCGAAACCTTTCGGGGGCGCGGGAGAGGTCAGAATCGAAGTTTAATTCGATCTCCCACCGGAAATGATCAACGGACTTACTTTCTTTTATTGTTTAAAAGTCTTCTATTGTCTAGCGTCGCGTTTTCATATCATAAAAATCTATTTTTAACTAATATATATTTTTTCTCTAAAACAATTATTTTAACGCGAATTTTAGTGAGGGTTTGGACCTGTCCAGAGCCTCACATATCAATAGACCGGTAGTTAATTTCTCGATAACTATCTCCTGACAATTTATTTGCACGCGTAAACCTTAACCTAACTTGAAACTAAAAATAGAAAAAGTAGAAGGGGAAATGAGAAGAATTAAAGGACAAAAGGGTACCCAATTTTCCAGTTGGTTCTCCACAGTTCCTCGTCTCGGCTTTCTCGTCTGTTCTCCTCTTAGAACAACTCTGGTCCGTTTTGGGGTTTTTCTCTACAATCGTCGACCGGATTCTTCTACCGATCCGCTTCTTACGGCCTCCTGCAGCGCTCCTCGACTTTCCGTTCAAAAGCCTGCTGCCACTCTTCTGTCTCTCTCCGAGTCCGGCCTAAGAATGCTTCTAGAAACTCTTCCTTTTCCCCTCCAGCCTCATTTTCTCCTTTTGTTCTAACGCTACCCCCTGATGGGTTAGGGTTGAGGCGAGTTCTCGGAAGTCCGAGACAAAGGAACACAGAAATCGGAAAGAAGGAAAATTCTAGCTGTAAAAATCTAAATACATTAAACTTAATAGATTATCCATCTGTGCCTTACGTCTGTTCTTGCCCCCCTTTCACCACGTGGTGGGTCTAACTCGGTGGAGAGGAGTTATGTAATTCAGGGGTGTGTGACCGAGGGGTGAGTGTTTTATGGACAGGGTGTGTCTCAGGGAGAGGGGTGAAGGGAAGTGGAGAGTGGAGAAAACGGTCTGAGATGAGTAAGGACATGAAACGGAGAAAACGGAGATGAAACGGACATGAAACGGAGAAAACGGAGATGATAAGGACATGAAACGGAGAAAACGGAGATGAGTAAGGACAGTGGAGTGAAGTGCGGGAATGAAGATATAGAGCCTGTGCAAGCAAGTCCGTAGAGATTTTTAGAACTTTGGAACTTTTCCCTACCCGGAGTGGAAGAGAAGAAAAGATCATCAAAGCCTCATTTATGTCGGTATGTTTCCATGTATTCTTGTTACGTCAGCTTGAGCCATTTATTGTCGGGAGATTTTTGTTATCGATTCGCGATATACTAGATTTGTCGGACTCTGTATTCTTGTGTCTCATCTTTATCTTGGGAGTACTGTATCCTCCCAAGTATATTAAAGAAATATTGTTATAGTATTCAATGGTTGTCTTGTCTAGTCCCTATTGAGTCCAGTGGATTCCCCTTAATAAGCGTTGTTTCCACCAAGCACGCTTGTTATAAATTTATCCCCTGGTTGAGCACTTATATTTTATCGTGTTGATTCATTCACACGATATTTTGTACCCCCACAACGGCACGCCACTGCGGTCGTCCCATTGTGGGCCTGGCCGAACCCATAATGAACCTGCTTTAAGAGGCCCTCTTAGTGCCAACAGGGCGGAGAGTTAAAAAAAAGTAAAACATTTATTTTTAGATATTGTAAAGGTACGACTGTTTTGATTATCATTTTAACAATGAAAAAATAATGTTTTTGAAATATTATTTTTATGTATTTAATTTATGACGCGAGACATTTGTAAAAAAAATGGCGACTGGTCGAGTCCTCCTCTTAATATTTATAGGCTTCATCAAACCATCAATCTTCGATTTTTGGTTGGACATACGATAATTTCCTGACATCCAGAAATACGTACTGTACATGAAATTATGAAAATTTACCGTTTCCCTCTCGACTGTTAATGGCAGAATAATTAGTGAAAAACTAAAACGCCTTTTGACTATAATTTAGGAAATAACTGTTGAATAATCATGGCCATTTATCTTATTAATTGTTTTTCGAAGACTCTTAATTTAAAAACTAATTGCTTTTCTCATTGAAAATACCGTAAGCTATTTACATAGTGCATGTTCATCAATTCAGTTTCCTTCCTGTATGATTTACAAACTTAGACATAGAATTATTCATATCACTTGAAATCGGAATGATATAAAAGAATTTGATGAAAATATTTAATTCTTTTAAGAGCTACATCAGGGGTGTCCAACCCGCGGCCCAAGGCAAGTTCCAATGCGGCCCAATAAACGTGTAAACAAAACCGACGAAGTTTTTCATTTTATTTTATTTATTTATTTCAACGGCCTAAATTCAAAAAAAGAAGTTTCACAAAGCCGTAAACCTTTATACATATTTTATTTTTGAGTGGAAAGGAACTATTTTCAAATACTTGGAAATATGTGGATGAGGAAGGAATACAGTACTAAATAAAGTTAAGTTGAGACTCAAAGGAATAAATAATTCTTTGAATCCCAACTCCAGTTTATTTAATATTCCTTCCAGCGTTGCATGATTCGGCTACTTTGCGCCAAAGTTGGCTATCCTTTGTTTAGTTTGGCTACATATACATAGTTTGGCTTTGTTTACTTTTTGGGCTACATATTATTTATAAATATATTAGACGAATAAAAATGCACTTTAAAATGGTGTTTTGTCATTTTTGTTTTAATTAGAGACCCAAATAAAACAAATATTTGTGTTTTTCAAATAAATTTTTGTCTGTCTCCTTTATAATAAATGAATTTATCTATTTCTAAGTAAAAATTGAAAGTGTCTGTAGAAGTAATTTTTTAAAATATCCTTTTTCCTGATAAAAGATTTAATACTTATTACTATAATCTAGACAAGTTAATCCTGAAACATACAAGTATATTTAAGGATTGGGCCACAAGTATATTATATATACTTGTGGCCCAAAACTCCATGACATCTTCCAATGTGGCCCATAGAAACAAAAAAGTTGGACACCCCTGATACAGAGGTGCGTTTTTGGCATCATGGGGCCCAGGCAGATTTGAATTAGAAGGCTCCATGTAGAGTGTTAACTTCAAATGTTTTTCTTTGAGAAAAGTTTTTTGGGGAAATATTTTCTTATAAAAGATTGGTTTGTGGCCTCCTGTTGGTGGGATTGCAATTGCCCTTTTGCCCATAGGATAACGCACACTGTCTAGCCTACATAAAACAGAAAATTATTTAACTTGGTTTTACTTTTAAGTAAAACAAGCTTTATATCGAAAAAAATTCCATTTTACTCAGGTTATTTTACATTTGGCACCCAAAAAGTCTTCCTTTTCCGCGCTAGGCAGGTTTCCGACTCATAATAGTATTTCAAATAGAAAATTGTGCTGTCCCGAGATTTATTGTCCTTTTAGGCGAGTTTATGTTTTATATACAGTCTGTTTTATACAGATTTTACTGTGATTATAAAGGCTGGTGATTATCGAAATCGATTTTATTTTTTAAACTTTACGACGTGTTTCATGTGTATAGATAGGGTATAGATAGGACTTCATAAATTTCAAAATGTAATCTACGTAAATGACACATTTATCAATCTTCGTTTTATTTAATTAAGAGATAGAATAAAGCGAAAGGAGTAATATTTCAACAAACAAAATTAAACATTTCATTCAACAATTGATGGTTACAGCAATATGCTAACATTTTCTCCATTGAGTAATCTAGATTCGGAAGCTCATCCATTGCAATCTATGAATGATTTTTCAATTATAAAATAGCAACATTGAAAAAAAAGGCTCGCAATTCAATAAATGTTTTCCTAAGAATATCTATCGAATAAAAATCCTGTATTCAGAGCATGAACTGAAGTCTGAGCTAGTCGAAAATGCAGATTCTACCTCTATGAAATCCATAAAAATAATGTGAATAAAATAAAACCTCAATTTACATCCAGTGCAGTAAAATAATTTTTTTTTTTGTAAAAAATTAAAAATCCAAAGATGAAATACAAGCCTACATTTAAAAATAATACGAAGAAGACTAACTACAAATAAAATTTGCTATCTTGCCTCCTTTCCAATCACAGGAATACAATTAACAATGTCAGAGTCTACTTTTCTTTAAGGCTTTTCCTTGCCTACAGTTATGCAAATTGATCTGTTAATGTTGTGTTCCAATTTTATTTATATTTAGTCTTCAACTTGTATTATTTATTTAAAATAAAAGAATTTTTCATACAGACACACTTAACTTCTCTGGTCTCATCAAAAATCAAAATATTTACATATCGAGCAGGTGAAATTACACAATTTAATTTTGTTTCCTGTAGCCTATTTTACAATATTATATATTAATAGTTTGAATAAAATTAAAAATAATGGCGGAATATTATGTATTTTTATTATTTTCATTCAAAGTGTCAATTAATTAATTTTATTGTTAAAGTTGTTTGTCAAGCGTGTAGAAGAATGACGAGTTTTATTTACACGATTGTAGGTAAGCCTCAACTCTTTATTTTTTTAAAATAGATTTTAAACTTAATTAAATTATAAATTATTTTAAGGCAAGAAATGTTTCTATGCTGCTTATGTATAATCTATTATGAATAGCTTTCGAATACGCAGCTAATTTTTAAGGCTTGTTCATTTGTAAACATAAAAATCTACTAAAAAGTTAAATTTTTAAATATCGTTTTAAATTCTTAGACAAATTTTAACACGAATAGAAGCTAAATAATTATAAATATAAAATTATCACAGTTTATATATTTTATAACGCGAAATCCGCATTGTTAGGTACTGTACAGGATAACACTACTTATCGCTTATAAAGCAAATACAGTCCTTTAATCATTTACGTGGGATAATGAAAAACAAATCTATTTTACGATTTCCGAAAGTGTCACTGAATAGGAACTAACTAATAAATAGTGATTCAGATAAAGGAAATGCTAAGGTAAGGAATGTGACTCATTGCACAATCATCGTAGCCTGGTACACTAGTTACAATATGGCGCAGGCAACCATATTGTAAATATTATACTACAAGAAGTGTACTACAAGTACAGTGTACAAGATACAGTGTACTACAAGAGTACACATTTAAAATCAGCCATTAATGACATGAAAATTTCTAAATTATCAATAATTTTTTTTTGCTACATCACACGAGTATACTCCAATTAAAACTTTGTCATCGTTAATTACTTAATCGAGTTATTTTTATTATCCCAATTGTTTAACGTCACCATCGAGTTTTGGAATTAATAGCCACTTAAAATTTAAATTATTTAATTAAAGTAATGTAAATATAATAAAGCCTTTGCCAGAAAGAAATTTTTATTCTGTTTGTCATAAGAGATAATTGTGTTTACTCATGGAAATTAAATATTGTTTTTCGCTTGTTTTAAATTAGGTAAGTGGGATTCTTGCCATCAACCGATGTTTCGTTTAATTAAACAATAACTTATTTATCTTTAACAGAAAGGACTTTGAAATCTTTAAAATAAAATTGCAATATAACCTGAACGGATTTAATGACAAATCAATATTTAGATTAGAATTAACTTTATATTTAAAAGTAAACAATGTGACGAACTCCAGATCCTTATTTAATCACTAACACATTGTTCAGCTTATCGTGACATGTTCTTATCTTGTTAACAGAAATTCTATCGAAACTAAAGCGATAAAGCAATAAAAAACTTTTGCACTTCTCAAATTTTTGTTTGCTAATTGCATTTTTTAAATGCCCGGTTCAGTTTGAATTTCTCAAGTTTCGCGAAACTGAAGAATAATAGGCTACAAAACACGTGATTGCTCGTCACGTGTTACTACCTACAGTTTCAAAACTTTATAATTATATAGTAAACCTATCAATAAAATAATTATTGTATTTAAATTAATATTAAGTATATTAGATATTTAGGATTTTAATAAATGTCGTTCGATGTGTCAAAGTTGGCTTTCGTTGAATAGGACGAGGAAGCCGACGTGTATGACGACGATCATGTCGTGCAATCAAACTGCATTGCAGCTACACTGCTGATAATGACTTATAAAAGTGAGTTACTGTTAGTCTAATAGCTCACTCATTCCTCAACCCGCCACGGTAAAGTACAAGCTAATTAATTTAATTAATTTTCATTCTAAAAGTCTACTTTAATCGATTCTTTGTGTGTTTATGAAAGTTTTTTTTTTATTAATTCGGGTTGTGTATATTTACTAAATTAATTAGGACCAGTGTATAATTGTATAATCGATTTTTGGTAAGGTCGTTGACCACGACGCATTCACCATCTCTTAATTTGATTTTTAGAAATTTAATTATCCTCCGACAAACAATAAAAACCCCACACGCAGCTGCATTATAGACGCATAAACAGTGCATTCTCTGCAAGAATTCTTCTCTTTGCTAACTGTTGACTCTTTGCATTCATCGGCGATCGATATTGATCCTATATTGGGTGTTGGATGATTTTCTTCATCGGTGTGAGTAGACATTTTAAAATTCGTAGCAGCTGCTGACGTATGTTAATGTTGTCTCGCAACTAAAACTTTAATATACAACTACGGGATTATTCACACTTCAATAATTTATTGCATAAATCACTTTGACTTCTTAGAAATTTCTATAATATCGATTTAATATCTAATTTCGTCTTTATCTGTATTCATTAACTTAAAACTAAAGATTTATAAAATATTAATTCTATATCTGACGATAAAATTATCGTTTTGTGTAACGATCTCCCTCTTAAGTTATTGTTAATAACAATTTTATTAACTGGAATATTTAGGATAATTGCATAGTGGGATTAAGACAGTCGGATGTTGTATTATATAATAATGTGATAGGCTATCTTGTCTTATAAGACTTAAAGTACTGTACTTTATAGGATACTTTAATCCTAAACGTCCTATAAATACTGCACTGAATAGTTCAAGTACTAGACGATAATTATTTGATTTTTGCGATGATGCTGAAACCGTAGACGAAGTATTTCAATTTCATCAAGTCCTAATCAGATGGTTTTTTTTGTTTGCTTGTTAAGTTATTAATCTTTTGTCTGATTGTGTGCAAGTCCTTCGAGCGATAAATTAATTGCAAGTTCCCTTTTATCTTTTTTTTTTTTTAATTAACATTTTTTCAGATAATTTTAGTTTGCTAAGAACACAACACAATTAGTTTTAACTTATTGAGAATACTAAAAATATATGGCTTTAGAATTATAACAACTATAACATTCCTGTTTGTAATAAATAGATGATAATTTTTTAAAATTATACAAATATGACTTATGTTCTGAAATATAAAAATTTATAGGCTAAATTATGATTTATATACTACATTTAGGAGTCTTGCAAACTAATGCTGTTTTAATTAATTTTATAGCAATTGCTTGATTAGTATTTCCATCAAAATCTTATAATAAATTAAAAATATGTTTTACTGGGGCGGTAGGAAGAAAAACACTTCCAAAATATAAAAATAACATTATTTTGACACCCAAAACTTTTGAAAGTTAAATAAGTTAATCAATCTAGTAGAGAAATCATTTCAGTTAATATTTCCATAATTTAATTATTAATCTTCATTCACACATAAATGTTATTTTCTCATCCTTCTTATCTTTATATATAAAATAAGAACGGTAGGAAAATTAAGAAATGTATTTAATTTACGTAACAGCATTTCTCATTATTATATTTTGACCTGGATGTCATCTAGATTTTATGTGAAGATAAAACTATAAAAATATTTATTTAAGATTCAATGTGAATTATATATTCTCATATGCTGTATGAAGTGTTATTTATGTAAATAAGTTATAGCGTGTCAGATTGACAGACATATCATGTTTCAGATTTAAAAAAAAAATTAAAGGAAGTTTTATATAGAAAGCCCTTATAAAATTTATAGTTATTATTAAAAAACAACTGTAAACAAGATAAATTTATTAATTTTATTAATTTAATTACAAATATAAGACGAGATTCGAAAGGTTCATTGGATATCACCCCCATTGATGGAAGAAAATAATGTACATTTATTTTTATAATTTTCTATTCTTATTATGCTTTCAGCATTATAATACGGTTGGCTGATTAATAAAATGATAATATTAGGGCTTATGTATATTTATTATATAATTATATTAACAAAGAAACATTTTAAAATGTAATTCACAAGAATAATCATAAGTTTCTCACTCAACAGATTTAATTGGAATAAAGTTTGGATCATAAACCCCCATAATAAACCAAATTAGATCCAAAGAATGCTCTAAATTAGTTTAAATTAATCTATAATTTCATATTCTATTATAATAATTAATCCTTTTATTTATTTATTCCATTTTAAATGTATAATCTATTGACGAATTGTTTCTTTGTGTTGTTAACATTTCCTTAGTTAACGAGTATTAATCCCTTTCAATATCATTTAAATTAAGTTGAAGGTGAAAAATTTTAATATATAATTTTAATTTTGTGTAATTATTAAACTTAATTTTACAATTTAAACTTTTTTAGTAATATTTTTAAAATCAGGAAGTTGTTTTTTCCGTTTACGCTCTTGCTTCCTTCATAGATCATTTTTCATTATTATTATTGTTATTTTTAGATGATATATTTGTTAAAAATTAAATTTAAATTTTAAAAAAATAATAAATTTTTAAACTTATAATCTAACAAATATTTCGAATTTATATTTTTAATGGAGTAGAAACAGGATGTAGCCTATCCTTTTATTGCTTGAGATCACTTTTTATTTATGTATTAAACTTATTTTTAGTTTTTTATATAAAATTTGATTGCGAATTTATTAAAATTAAACGTTTTAAATCTGTTTTTTAGGTGTTAATTACGAGCGAAAATGGCCGAAAAGAGAGTTATTGTCACTAGAACTGTCGAGCGTGTGTCTTCGGATCAACCTATGGGACAGGTAATTTTTATTTATAAAGACGTAAATGATTTATGTAGAATATCGCAGACTTTAGTTAAAATGACATTTTTAATTTATTATAATATTCGATATTGTGGCGAGGAAATATCGCTACAAATGTAATTATTAATTTAATATATCAATGTTCCAATTATAGAGGCGAATAGTGAAGACCGTAACGACTAAAACTTCAGGAGGGGGAGGAGATCTGACTCAAGATTTGCTCTCTAAATTTGGAGATTTTGATATATCGGAAAAGAAGACTTCGCACGTTCGTACGTTTCACTACGTGACAAAAGAGGGAACCGTTACCAAAACAGTAAGCAGTTCCGATTCGGTTGATGTTCCAGTAACTCAAATGGTAACTCGAAGTCCTCAGAGCAGTCCTGTGAAAACAGTTCAAACTAAATCGAGTCCCGTTCGAGTACAGAAAACAGAACCCGTTTCCAATACGTCATCCGTAGAGTCTTCGGGAGATTTCGCCCAGGATTGCCTCCAGTGGCACAACCACTACAGAACCATTCACGGAGTTCCACCTTTAAAATTATCAAAGGAAGTGAGTAAACTTTTTTATAATCTCTATGAATTATATATCCAAATCCGAAACTAGTTTTTAGCATATTGCGACAATCGATTCGGGCCTTGGAATTATCTGGACGATCGATTTTCGCGCTCGATTACAAATCTGCAACATCTACATCACTCGAGATCGGTTCGAATTAGTCTACGCGAATTATTCTGATAGTTTTAATTGCGTGCTGCAATTTTTAAAGCAATTTTAAGATTAAAATAAAGGTTTATTGTGAGACTTCAGTAAATAAATTCTCAATTCCTGGCGTTACACGATATTGTTAACACCGAAATATTATTATACTTGTTTAGTAAACACGTACAAGGTTATCAAAATTGTTAGTGGGATTAATTCTAAGACTGATTTCGTGCCAAATAAAATAAAAGTTTTGTAATTTTTATGTTCGACGAATCATTATCGAGAAAATAGCATTTTAAAGTGTAGCGACGGCGCGTCCTGTTTACTCTAATTAAGAATATTTATGTCTGTATGATCAGGAAGGAAAGCGCGGTTCAGGAAGAGAATTAACTTATACTGGCAATTGTTAAAAGGAACTAAAAAAAAATTAGAAATTGGAATTATCTCAATTGGAATTTTTAAATCTCGAGCTTAGTTAAATCTATACACTTTACCAGTAAATATTCTATAACAGTTCTACACGATGAACTCTACATATTCTGGGATAATTCCATAATAATCTGTACAAATGTCAGATTAATCCATGAAGCTCATAACTGATAACTTTATCAAATACATTTGGTTTGTGCGAATTTAGTAGATTTATTTATTTAGTTACCTAATCTAAAATAGTAACTCAATTTTTATAATGATTTGTCCTGGATAGGTTGAACCACTTCCGTCGCTATCCGGCTTTACTTGTTGGCTTGATGGGCATGGGAAATAAAGATCCTCTTAGCACTCGTAGAGCGAAGGCCAATGTGGTAAAGGCGTCAGCGTACTGTTCTGGGAATCAGGGAGCGAATATGGGCATTACGATAACTCCAGGAATTTTTCGCTGGTGGTCTGTCCAGGAAGTGTCCCTCACCATCCGATCGTCCCATTATGGGCCTGATTTCAAAGGCTTTTAGTGCCCACAGTCTGGAGAGAAATAAAAGTGAAAACAGTACCCCAGAGTGGAGAGTAAAAGAAAAAACCTCATTTCCTAGGTGGTCTAATTTGATATTTAATTATAAAACGCTCTGCAGTTTGTTTTAAAAGCAAAATATCTATATAATTAGATAATTGTTATTTTCATTTTATTAACTTACACATTAACATTTAATATCATGAGTCCACTAGTGGCCGGATGGATAAAACCACTAAACCATCGTAATTAGTCGTGGGTTCGCGTCTCGCCGATGGACTGGCTGCCTGGAGTTTTACGGGTTTTCTTCACATTTGAATCACCTAACTTTCACATAGAATGCCTCCCGGCAGGCATCATTCCCTTGACAGATCGTCCATGTGTCACGTTGCCGTATACAAATAGGAGAAAAAGGGCAAGTTAATGCCATGCTCCTAAAAGAAAACTAAAATAACGCACTCAAGTTTACACGAATACCAAAACTTTTATTTTATTAATAAAGTTTAAAGTATACTGTACAATTTGGCGTTATTTATCTTACATTAGAGGTTGCGGCCGAAGTTTTCAATGCGAAAACGCGAACGTCGGACGTTCAGTGTGTTTTCTCGATGAAAACGTCGGCCGCAACCAAAATAATCTAGGATCTTGGGTCGCAACCTCTCTAATATCCGACCATGTTTGGTATTACTGCTCAATGATTGGACATTAGCACTCATAATTTCACTTGATTTACGTAGAAAATAATCACATTTTATAATTATTTGAGTGGAGGTTTTCATTTTTGCCTTGAGTCTTCAGATTTTCGCTTTCTAACGTCACTCGTTTGTGATTTCCTTGGAATAAGCTTAACTGTTAGAATTTGTGAATATTTGTTTTTTATAGTCTACCCAATTTTCTCCATTTAGTATTGTTTGAAATGAAAGAAAGAAACGGGTGAAATATACGACCTAAAGACGCTGGTTGTTGTAATTAACTTACATGAACATCATTACTCTTCATTGCCATATTGGATTCTGATGCTTTTTTGTTGACCTAACAGCATATTATAAATCAAACAAAAAGCTGAGATGGGAAGCTAAATATGTGTAATTTATACACACTGTTTTAATCATAATCCGCTGAGCGTCATTAACCAACTTTCTCCTACATAAATATCGATTGTTTTATTAACTTTTGTGTATTGTCTTATATACGTTACTTTATATTTATTTCTGTGCACCTATTATATTTTGCGTAATAATTACGAGAAGTGATTTTATCATGAGTTGTATCCAAGTACTATAATTGGTTAGTAATTTGTTAGAACTAACAATTAATTAAAATATGTTTAAAGCTGATCATTTTGTATGGTTGATTTGATGATGAAACGGGAAAATCCCATAAAAACAATGTCGGTATGTGTTAATAGTTTCCTCAAATTAGGATATTTCCTATTATATTTTGACACGGGAAATTTCTCTTTAACCATCATCCTATTTTCGGCTATTTAGTTATTTTTTTTTTCTTGGTTGGAATTTTATAAAATTTTGTTGCATGAGACGTCATGTCCCACGAATCGAAAATACTAACTTTTATTTATTTTAAAATCATAACTAATTAGGCCCGATAATACTTCGCTTCATTAATTTAATACCTTCCAAATAATATTACAATAGAGTATAATTAGACTAATTAGAATATAGAGACGAATTAATGTCCGATTTTTAACAGTTTTATAAAATGTCATGTCAAATATTATAATTAGTTCGATTAAGATTTTCTAAAATTCTGATGCAAAGTATTCAGATTTTATGAATATTTTTAATTTTATTTTATTGGATGCTAGAAAGAAATTCTATGAATTGTTTAAAGTTTTCGTTATGTACAAGTATAATTTTTTTTACTTAAAAGATACCGCACAGCATTTCGTATAGGATTTAATTCTTAAAAAAATGTGCTATACGCATTTGTGTTATCAGGATCGTAGGAACTGGGTATTGAAATCTAAGGAACTGTATACATAAATTTCGGAAAGTAGGCTAAAGCTTGTGTGTCTTCAGAAAAAAATTCCTAAACTTATATACAAAAGTAATTATTAGAGAGGTTGAGGCGCACGTATTTAGCCCAAAACGTGTACGGGTAACGGGTGAGCGCCGCCATCTGGCAGTTCTGGACCGTCGATAATGGCGCTTGGTGGGTACACGATCGGCTTAAACGTCTTCATTTTTTTGTGTTTGGGTTTAAAATTATGATTTATTTTGCTTCCGCCATTTTTTTCAAGTTATTTCCCGTGAGTCAATGCGCGATGTTCACTGAGTCACGTGATGTTATGAACGTGTGCCTCAACGATTTTTACTTGGACTTGTAACGTGTACTTCTGCTACCCGTACACGTTTAACGTTTGAACTTGTGCCTCAACCTCTCTACTTATTTATTTTATTCTGCTACCCGTACACGTTTAACGTTTGAACTTGTGCCTCAACCTCTCTATTAAGTCAAATATTGTGTAGAAAATGAAGTTATGTTGAGCATATAAATTTTGCTTTGTTCCACTCCTCCAAAGAAAAATGTGCCAGTGTCAAAAGTCTGATTGGACCATAATGCTATGCAAATTTTTAGACTCTTCTCTCCAAAACATTTATTATTTATTTTTCAGATCACTTCCCAATTATAATGAATTTTTCATTTTGTAAATTTTTCCCAATTTCGCTTCATAATTTCCGGTTTTCCCAGAACCGAATAACTATAATCAGCGTCGATGCAATTTCATTTATGTAACAATTATACCAAAGACTTGAAATGATATTAGAATTAAATAATTTTTCAGTTAGAAAATTTACATTCGTTTTCATATGCTGTTCCTATGACTGTATTTCACAGTTAGTTAGGAATCTACTATTTTTAAAAATCTTTTCGTTAAAAATAATAATTATAAAGTTAGTAATGTTTTTCATTGTTGTTGTTAAATTATCAAAACAATTACGAAGATTTAATTTATCAAATAATGATATATTTCATTAGCCTGGAGTTTTCTTGCATCTTGAAGTGAAAAACAATTGTTTGTTGAAGATTAAAGAAAGTAATTTAAATAATCACATTAATTAATAAATAAATATAACAATTTAGTTAAAGCCTCAATTGACACTTAACATGGACATTCAGTATCTTTTAATTAAACTAATTGAAAAAAGAAAAAATAATGCAAGAGCTAATTATTTATGTTCTCACTTTTTAAGATATCAAATTAAAAAGAAAAATAAATTACTCATTAATTGAAAAAACTATAAAGTTTTTGGCATGATTTCCTCGATGACATTTAAAATAAGGACATATCCTCATTCATATGGGAATGATTAATATAAATACAGTAGGATAAAGACTTTATAATGCTAAAGCTATGAGTCTTTAGTTTTAAATTTTCATTATATTGTAGGTACACAATCATTCTGAATGTAGATAGCCATTATTTCCTGGTGAAAATTGCATATTGTTCAGGAAAACTTGCTGTAAAATGACCTTTATTCCTTTCATGTCAATTGCTATTATGTATTTTTTACTTTCATAGAATTATGAAAGAAAAATAGCCATTGTTTAGTATATAGTTATAGATTGCAGTCCAGAATGACTTAACAATAATGGATACATTCAGTAAGTTATGAAATCTGTAAAGAAATTTGCATGCATACAGAAATCTGTATACTTTAGCAAAAATTGTAATTAAAAGTTAAACAAATTTACAAAGATGTTATTTAATACAAGGAGAGTTGTAAATTTTGCTGCTGCAACAAAACTCTCATTATATTGAGTCACTAATTGATTACATAGATTGTCTTTACAAAACAAACTTTATTAATTAACTATATATCTCTTAAAGTAGACTTATGCATTAGTATTTTTCAATTTCTATAGAAAATTATGTTGTTTGTAGCTCTGTCGTTATGCAGAAGAGTGGGCCAAGAACATTGCTGCAAGTGAAAACTTTAGACATCGCCCAAATAATAAATATGGTGAGAATATTTATATGGAATGGAGCTCGAATCCAAATAGTCAAGTTTCAGGTAACTGTTTCTATCAAATTATCATTTTCTTTATAATCAAGTTAAGAAAAAAAAGTTTATTTTATTTTCCTTTCAAGGTCAAAAAGCTGTTGACAGTTGGTACAGTGAAATTAAATTTCACCAGTTTGGAAGAGAACCAACCAGTTTGAAGTCAGGCAAGTATCTCTAAAGGCTGCTATACACCATGGGTTAATCCTCAAAGGAGTAACCATGCATGCCTGATTTTGAGTCATTCCTGGATGTGTGGGGGGGGGAAATTTAACAGTTTCGGCGAACTGTACCGACCACCTGAGTAGAATCGGCCATATTCTTTAGGTTAATTCTCAAAGGAGTAATCATGCATGCCTGACCTTAATAATTTTTGGTAGTTTATGGGGGACAATTTAACAGCTTCGGCGACCTGTACCGACCACCTGAGTAGAATTGAAAAACCATTTGATTTTCCTGGCGCAGTGTCAGACTGCGCAGGCCGACCTAAACGTGTGTGAGAACAATGTCTCGTGAATGTTTGGAAGAATTATTTTCTATAACCTTATTAACTTTTATTATTTATAACCTAATAAATTAATTTTTCAGGTTATAAATTATTTTCGGATCAAAAATTTCTTGAGTAAATTAAAATTATAAATAATTTTAATATTTAGAAAACTTCTCAATTCATTTCTTCCGTTTTCATAAAACATCTTGATACTCTATATCATTTTCTTCTACATTTTAAAAAATTTATTGTTTTAATATCCAAGTAAATTAAAACATGACAACTTAAAATAAGACAAAGTTTAATAAATTCTTTTTAATTATTAAATTATAAAATTAATTTGCGATAATAATGTTTACAATTTGTACTAATATCGGATGTGGTTGAGAATTATTAATATATATTCGTCTATAAAATTTAATCCATGAATTTTTTTGGTAGTAAAATCGACTTGCCATTGTCTTTCGCTGATAATTGATGCTTTTTAACATAATCTATAGCCCAAGATTTCTCTTGAAAAATTAATTTTGTGATATGAAATAATTCCATTAAAAAATTATTCGTATGAAAAATCAATTTTGTGATTAGTGCTACCCAAACCACTACTACTACTATTTACACCATAGACTTCTATGCATACTTTTTCCCGCGAGTTTTAATAGAATTTGTTGCCAATAAACATCAGTGGCGTAATAATAAACACAATGACGTAGCGAACGTAACTGCACCCGGGCCGCGACACTATATTGGCACCCCTCCCCCTCCAGAAACAAATTTTGTTATTCTTGGAAACCATTAGGCTCCCCTCTGCCAGTGGTGCCCGGGGCAAGCTGCCCCACCCTCTGCTGAGAGGTTTTCTTCGTTTTTGGGCGATAAAAAATTCGGAAGTTCCTCAAGGCCAGGCAGCCTCAAAGGATTAACCTATGGTGTATAGCAGCCTTAAGGAAACTCTAAAATTTGGGTTTAAAAGTATCTAATTAAACATTTTATTTCAGGGCATTTTACACAAGTAATTTGGAAGGAATCCAAAGAATTAGGTGTGGCCTACAGTCGCAGCAAAAGTGGGAAGATATTTGTGGTAGCCAATTATAATCCAGCTGGCAATATGTTAGGGAGTTTTAAAAATAATGTTCCTGCACCTGCCAACTAAAAATTTCCCAATTAAACAATACATTCCAATATTTCCAATTTAACTATCCCAGATATTCCATTATACTCTAGTCATACATATTTTATTGTTAAATAATTAGTTTTCATGCAGCACGTTCACTTCATATTATGTTGCATTTTGTTAATGTAATAATGGACCCTTGAAACACTTTCATGTATTACCTTTTTATTGTGATTTTTCCTAAAGACACTTCCCAAAAGTTATTGTTTTGTTAATTGCCATGTTATCAAGATGTAAATAATTTATAAAAAAAAAAAAAAAAGTTATAAAATGTTCTTTCAACTATTTTGGAATGTTAACATGCAATATTCAAAATTTAGCTAACTTAATGAAAATATTTGTATACAATAAGTCAAGTACTTCCTAAAAAAAATATATATATATATGAAATGTTTTGATGAATTATAACTCAGGGAAGAAAGTTTGTTATGAGCTATTTATATATTTTAGTTATAAATAACAAGTGCTGAAGGTAAATAAAAGTCTTACAAAATATTAATTACCAGAGTTTGTGTTAATTACCAGAGTTTGTGTTTATTAAACACTGCAATCAATAAGGATGCTCTGATATGGAGATGAACACCATAAATTTAGTCGTATGTTGAATGTTTTGTAATGTATCATCATAAGACACCGCTTGCACTTTTATGCGATATTCTTTGGGATCCAGATCTCTCAGTGTGTACAGCACACCTCGTCCATTTTCAAAACGTATTCTGAATGGCACTCCAGTATCATTGTCACTGATTGTAAAAGTACTGTGAGGTAGATGGTTTCCCTCTTGATCATATGCCGTTAACCTGATTAAATCTTGATAAGCCTGAACACCTTTTGGTAATGCTACCATTTTGAATGCCAAGATCTCTGAAAATTTCATGTGTTGTGGACACTCGACATCATTTTCATCACAATGAAGTTTGCAATATCTAAAGAGAGTTAAGTATTCAGAAATGCATTACAAAGAGAAATATAAGTAGTTTAAACTTGTTACCTAGTAACTGGGTCACGATGATAATGGAGAGGACAAGGAGTATCTATACATTGGAAACTTCCTCTGGTGTTGAAGCAAGTTTTTTCGGGGCCACAAGTTATGTTAAATAGAAGACATTCATCGACATCTACGGTAAAATACATATAATTTAATTACTTTTATTTAGTAAAAATAATAAATTATTAAAGCTTACCTGTACAAGTATGTTGATTTGATGTAAGTGTATAACCAGATGGACAAAGACAACGATAACTTCCAATATTGTTTTCGCAATAGTGTTGACATTGTTTTTTCTCCTCACATTCATCAATATCTAGGACAAAATTTAATAGAAATAAATACAGATTTTCTTTAAGACACTTATTTTTGATTTAGATTTGATAGTTTCTAAGTGCTTTTCTTGGATTGGAAAAAGTTTGAATCTTATTTATATTACTAACCTGTACAATAAAGTCCTGTTGAATGTATTTTAAATCCTTGTGGACACTGTGAAGGACGACCATCTGAAATTAAACATGCAATAATCATAGTAATTATTACTAAACAAATATAATACTGTAAATTGCATGTGAAATAGAACAAACCTAAACTTATGCTGCTTTCTAGAGAATAAGTTAGTTCCCCTGTTTCCAAATGATAATCACTGTTGATATTTACAGCTTGTAATTTCTCCATAGGATATGGCATTTCCCCATAAGATTTGTCATAATTTATGCTATGATTCCAAGCATATGGTAATTTATGGTTATCTATTAGGAATGTCCTTGATGATTTTGCATACAGCAATCCCTGCCCGATTTGAATGTAATCCTCTGTAATAAAGTAAAATTATTTGAGTAAAAATTAACTTAATGAAATGTGATATTATAAGTAAATGCTAACTTTATGTTTACCTGTAAATGGGAAAAATGCTACTTTAGTGTCTTTGTGGATTTCAGGAATATTTCCACTTATTACAACATCTATGAGCAAGCGACCATCTTTATCTAGTCCTCTTGCCACATGAGTAAGATGAACAATTTCTCCTAATTACAATGGAATAATTTTAAATGTCTCAAGACTTATATAAATTTCAAAGTAGTTCATTGCAATATAAATTTCAAAGTATAAGTTTAAATTTAACTCACAAATGAAAATAGTTATACCAATAATATACAACCAGATAATCTTAGATAAAAACATTGTATTGTTATTTATTTAATATTATATAATATTAACAGCCAGTAGGTCAAGGAAATGAAGACATTAGAGTATAACACAGTCTAAGTTAGAATATCAAATTTTTTTTTCAGTAATTTGTCTTACTTGTTAGCAATGTTGGATTCTGTCCATTCATTGTGGGTATGGTCTAACCACAATCAGCTATACCCCTTTAGTGAACAGAATAATTATTATTGTTTTTTTTAATAATTATTCTAAAGTATATTTAACACTGACAAATGATATAAAATCTTAGATTAATGAACATATTATGAAATCTAACTTAATACAAGCGAGTATTTATTGTGACAATGCCAGGCTGCAATTTTTAATCTATTTCAGTTAAAATGTATGCTCTCCACCTCAAATTAGTAGTGACTTTTCCATGTACATCATACTTTTCCTGTTAGATGACCGGCATGACTATTCTATCTTTCCTTTCAGGGGAAAATTTTTGAATTGAAATAACATGACTTCTGGTTTGCATCAGAAGTTTGTACAGTAGACCCGCTATAATGTGGGTTCATATAATGTGGATTCGTATATCGCGGCGAAAAAATTGCAACCGTATTCGTATAAAGACGCTAACAGAGACTCATAAAATGTCATTGCCGACTCATGTCGTGACAGGATTGGTCGAATCTGGACCAATAGTGGACAAGCAGCCGAACTACTTACACGCTACAGAGAGTTTAGGTGGATAAGTTAAGTTTACTATCGTCTGTACAGTATATAGGCCTAGATTAGGTACTGTAAGTCTAATACAGTACTGTAATTTTATACATTTCTTGTGAAAGAAACATTTCTTATTCAACGGCCATAAAAATTGTTTCTATTAATGATGTCTCCAAAGTTCAATGAATTTTTCGCAGAAAAATAACATCAGAAAATGCGCCCGCCATTTGGTGCGCTGCTCTGCAACAAAAACAAGCTTAAGCAATGGCATCGTCAAACGATGCACACTCGGTAAGTAATCCTACAATTTTTTGTTTATAGCATAGTTTATACGGATTATTCCCAAAAAATTATACATGTTTTGGAAATGTTGAGTCAAATTAGTCTAGAATTGATTAATTTTATGGAAGAAAACTTTCAAACAGCCGTAGTCCATAAACTGCACATGTGATATTCTTATAAAGCATATAATGTGAAATTCTTATAAAGCAGAACGTATCTACTGCGTTATGGGGGGGTCGACTGTATATAGTTAATTGAGACCTCCTGCCCCTAAACTTTCCACATATAGTCTCGGCTTTCATCTATGTAACTCTGTTCTCAAGATTAAGGAAAGACAGACAGATGGCCAAATGGACAATAGTGGGAATTTATAGGTCTATAATTTTTTCAAATTGCAGTCCAATAATGTATATACACAGTGTTTTTTTTTTTTTTTGTGATGCAAATTTTAATCATGTAGATATTTATCACATCACAAATTTCTTTCTTATAGCATCAGTGATCTCATCCACCATCATTATAACATTATATTTAAAAAAAAATTAGTTTGAAGAACAGTACTCCTTATATCATTGAACTCAATTTCATTATATGTGAACATATGGTCCTTTATAACAACAGTTGCTAATTGGTGGACCATGAGAAAATTTTGGTGGTCTGTGGAGAAATTTGGACATTGATCAACTCAAGGTTATGCAAAGTATTACAAAAGAAATGCAAAATGCTTGGTTGCTTTTTCTCACTCATTTGGTTTTAGATTCAAATAAAATCCCCATATAAAATAACCTATCAATAAATAATGTGAGTGCAATTGTTATCCTCTGTGAAAAAGAGCCAAGAATCAATAAACTTATTTCAAACAAGCAGAAACAAACTTCACGCTAATTTGTTATAATTAAACAATTGAATTTCATATTAATAAAGTAAAATGGAACTTTTATGACATTATTCTATAGATTCAAAATCTATAGAATAATGCCATAAAACTTCTATTTTACTATCAAATTTTTTTAAATGATACAATAAAAATATAGTAGTCCATGAGGTCAAAGTTTGGCAAACACTGCTTTATAACTATCAGATGTGGTCCTAGGTAAAATTTATTTTTGAGATACTAAAAGAATGATTGAGATAGAGAGGGAGAGAGTTATTCAGTTCTACAATAATATGAACGTTTTTAATATAAAACAAGACAATAAAACAAATGGTAAAGTAATAAAAGTATGCAAGATAATTTTACAATGAATTGGAAAATTCAATAGATGTACAGAAATTTGCCTATAAAATTTGCTTTCCTGTTTTCATCAGTGCTGATTTAATCAATAACAGAAAATAAATCAGTTTTGTATTAATATCTTTCAGTGGACAAAATTATCAAGAGTTTTTTTACTTTAGAAGATAGTTCTTGATAAATTTAAATTTTACTGCATATGCAGATATTAGTACAGGTTGAACATCTTTAATCCAGAATTTTGTAGTCTGACAACTCCTGTGGTCCAGGAGGTTTTGGATCTGCTGCTACTAGTTTGTAGATCTGTTGTCTGCTCATTTGTTCTGAAAAAATTGATTAGCAATGAGCATTTATTTATTATGACAGTGTCACAATGCCTGGCTGCAATTTTTAATTTAAGATATATCTTTCCATCTCAAATAGTACTGTAATGTCTTACTCCTGTAAATCATACTTTTCCACTAGCAATGGAGTTGTCAGTCATTTAGCTAAATCTTTCAGGGAAAAAGTTTTAAATTGAAATACAGTAATGTGACTTTTGGATTTGCACTAGAAGTTCATACATAGTTAATCAGGGCCTCACCCTCCTAAACTTTCCATATCTGCTCTTCAATTTTGTTTATCTAACACTGTTCTTGAGATTAAGGAAAGACAGATGGATTGATGGACAACAGTGGAAATTTATAGGTTTACAATTTTTTCAAATTGCAGCCCAAAAAGACAAAGTACCAGAAGCAAGCTACATTGCAACAGTGGTTGAAAAAGTTCGTTAATAATTCATTCAAAGACTCATTTCAATGTAGAATACCACTTTGCTGCACCTCTTCTGTTTCTGATGTAGTTACAGATTACAAGTATTTTTGGTTTTAGTCTTTATATTACATGAACAATAAAACTTGGTTTAGATGCATTAATGTTTGTATTATTTCCTGAAACTTGGTTCTACCTTTGATAATACTGCAATATGTGAATGGAATAAGCATGTGGTTATATACTTGGTTTCCATAAGGATCCCTTTCTGTACTCTTGAACCTCCTTGATCTGGCCAATAAATACAACCTGTACAATTATATTTTTCAATAATTACTAATTTGGTTGATGATTTAAGTAATAAACTATA